CACCTGTGGCTCAATGGGTAGGATGCTGGCCCCATATACTGAGGGTGGTGGGTTCGAACCCAGCCCCAGTCAAAATAAAACAAAAAATAGCTGGGCGTTGTGGCTGGTGCCTGTTGTCCCAGCTACTTGGGAGGCTGAGGCAAGAGAATTGCCTAAGCCCAGCAGTTGGAGGTTGTTGTGAGCTGTGACACTGTAGCACCCCACTGAGGGGGATAAAGTGAGACTCTGTCTCTAAAAATAAATAAACAAATAATTGGCAAACTAGAGCTATATGGTAGGATATGTTGAATAAAAAAATATATATACTTGTAAAACACTCCTAAATTAGTTTACTTAATCCTCACATCAGTCTTGAGATCAACATATTCTTAATCACATTTTGCAGATGGTGAAATGAAGATTAAAGAGGTTAAATAATCTGCCCAAAGTGTAGCTACAGAGGGTTCCCTGAAATTCAGCCAGGTCTATATGATTCTAAAACTGTCTCCACTTGTTTGAGGCAGACTTTAAAAGTTTATAATGAATAACCCAGTGTCACTGGGTTTTACCTATTGTAAAGTAAAGGGGAATCTGGACTTGATCTCTTAGAAGTGTTTCAGCTCTAACATTTGTAATTTCTCTTGGTAATACATGACCTATCCAAAATGAAAATACGGCCTATAAAAGTTTCCAACATGTCATAGGTTCTCAGTTTATATTAGTTCCATAAATGGGAATGTTTAATTCATAGTGTCATACAATTTAAAGCTAGCTTGGGATTGGAGGGCATTTTGCTTTTTACTCCCTGTTCTCCTAATCAAAAAGAAAATGAGGATTATAAATTCTGTTCTCCATGTCAGTTAGTGCAAACATACATTTGGAGTCAGAGTTCTTGCTGCTGTCGTAATGCTTTTTTATTTTCAAAGTGTGCTGACTTGAAAGCTGGTAGAACAATAGCTAAATTGTACTTTTTTTGAAGCATATGACTTAAGATCAAATACTGTGACTGAGTTTTGTCTTGTGCTAGCTTTTAGTAAACTAGCAGTTGTATTCAGTACCTGAGAGCTTACTTTCACAGTACACATGGCATAGCTACTAGTAGATATTATTAATGTCTACTAAACAGGGAGAAAAGGCTTGATGTTAGTATTTTTTAACAAAATGTCAGGCAAAGACTGTACAGTAAGCAGTGAAACTGCCATGTTTAAGCAGTCTGTCTTCAGGGTCACACAGTTTGTCTTGTTCAAGTTAGTAACACATAGTCACTTAAGCCAGGGGTTTGTGTCATCACTATAGTATCATTTGAATTCTTGGGACTGAGTGTGGGAGGATCTTTGTACCTTCAGTTGTATGATATGCAAACACACACAGATATACATTATTCAAGATAATTATTATGGAACCTATTTTTAAACAGGTGACAGAAAGTGTCTCGAAGTCAGAATTACTTTTTATCATCAGTTTTTTATTGTGTGAAATTTATTTACTTTAAGGATATATGAAGGAAAAAAGCACTAATATTGAAATTATATAGAATGGTCATAACTTCCTTAATTTTTATGAACTTTGTGATCAGAGATTTAGAGTAAACACTGATTATCAGTATGTAGCATTGGTTACAAGGGTGATATAATAATGTTAATATATTTAGATGAATTGTCACCACTAATTAAACACCCTTGCTTCTTCATGACAGATGTGGCATTATCTTCTACTTTAAATACATTTACAGAATGAATAATTGCCTTTTGGCATTAAGATCACAAATTAGACTTTAGAGCTAGAAGAGGCTGCACTTGAAATAAATTTGGTGTTTTATGTTGTCCTTAATTACTACCTCAGTGATTAAAATATTTTAAATTTTGGCAAAGATTTAAATGATACGACAACTTGGATAATTTGTTCTTTTAATAGTATTCTCAGTAATTAAGTCCTGTTTGGTTCATCCATTTGTACTAAACCAGAGGCAAGGGCTTTAATCTAAGGATTGAGCTAAGATAATTTTATGCATTTTACCCATGTTTAGCTGGATCCAGAACGAAGTTTATTTGACCAAGGAGTAAAGACAGATGGAACTGTACAACTTAGTGTACAGGTAATTTCCTACCAAGGTAAGAAACTTTATTGATAGTTATTTAAAAGTTTAGCTCAAGGTTTTTGATATTATTTCACAATTTTATAGGTTTTTGGTGTTTTAGGTGATTGTCCAAATTAGTTAATGTGATATTATAGCCAAATACTTGTGTTTTGGGTTTAGTTGTTGTATCTGATGAGGGAAGCAGATAGTATAGCATATCTTACCTAGTTTAGTCTTAAAGGGATATAATATATATAGTATATAGCAGAATCACAGAGAGGCCTGGAAGAACAGATTGTAGTTGGCTTCCTAAGAATGCCACTGCTACACTGCAGAACTGGACTGCAAAGGAAGCTGTTGCCCTGCTGTGGACTGGAAAACAACACAGCTGGAAGTTACAACTGTAGCGCTACTGTCAACTTAGAACCATGCAACCTTTACAGTGATCCATACCAGTCAAAAAAATGGATGTCCTGTGCCTGCTTGTCTACTCTTAACTCATTTTCCAATGGAAGGCTTATACTATAGTGCTTCTCAGAACCCCTGTCACATCTGTAATCTAGCTGCAAGGAAATCTAGTTTCTACAGTTCAGCACAGAAAGGAGTTTATAACAGATATGGAGTCATCTAGTCAGCATATCCATCGTGGTATTTTACTAATGTTGTATAAGTACACAGGTTACAAAGGAAAATTAGGAAAAACTATTTTTGTAGATTTTTATTTTAGTAGTTTAAATTGTGTCTTGTTGGGATTTCTAACACAGGTTTTAGAATAATTTCATCTTGAACATACTGTAATTACTTTCAATTATGTTTCATAAACCAAAGTTTTCTTCAGATACTGAAAATGATGGTTTTCTACTTGTTATCCCTTTTATAATTCCCCTGGATTGATTGTTGTTGGGAATAGGATAAGAAATTTGTTGTTTTTATTTTTAAAAGCATAGTGGCCTGTTAGTGCTAGTGTGTTTAAAAAGAGTTCACTTGAAGCCATAAAAGTATAGAATTTGTTATGTAAGTTAGGGAATAAATCTGAAGAGAATATATATTTTTTAATTCTGATTCTTTTTGTCAGACATATTTGAAAGAATTATTCTCTTTTATATTACCTACTGAATGATAGTAGTACATTTTCTTACAATTTTGGTTTTCATAGACTGAAGTTGACCTTTGCTTTTTCTCTCAAAGTGCTTTGATTAAATGCTGATACAGATTATAACAGATTCAGTAAACATCAGTAGTTATATATAACATTGTTTCTTAGAGCTGTCATTTTTAACATTAGTATACAAGATTATTTCATGACTGGCTAGTTTATTCTATTTGTAATAGATGGATAATAATGTATCTTCCAGAGAGTTGTACAGACATGACTAAATAAAATCACCACTTTCATGGCATACTTTTTTTAGCTTAATTATAAATTCTGAGTCACAGGTTCAAAGTGTGTTAGTTCTGAGTGAATAGACATTGAAAAAATCTGTATTAATATATCATTTACCTCATCTTCTTCCATAGGAATTATAGTTCATAACACTTTTATACAAAGGTTTGAATATTTTCAAGACCTGAGTTTTCCCTCTTTGGGTTGGAAATGAAAAGCAGAATTTAATGATGTGAATTTAGTTTATCAAACTTGGCATCATTTTTAATACATGTACTTTGTCCTTTAAAAAGCTTAGTAAATAATTTACTTAGAAGGATTTTGAAAATCTTGAGGATGGTGGCCCCTCATTTATGTTCTTTCTAGTCTAGCTTTTATTTTCTGTTCCATATTGGCAATTTTTATTTATTTTTAAAATTTTATTTGGGTAAGAACTGGTACTTTTTTCATAACGATGTTTGCAGATAGGTTTTGTGGGGTGGTATGTTTAAAAAATTATTTTAGACTTGTAGAGAAGTTACTGCTAAAATAATTCCTAGATACCCTTCACACACATTCCCCAAATGTTAACTTTCATTATATTTGCTTTATTCTCTGTCTCCCTACACACACATTGTTTTTTGAACTGTTAAGGGTAAGACGCAGACATAATCGCCTTCTGTCCCTAAATATATTAGTGTATAT